TGGCACCGACCCCGCTGCCCCTCAAGGTGATCCTGCCTTCTCCCGGGCCCTGGCCGTTGGAGGTAATGCATCGCTGGCGTTCCCGGTAGGGGGAAAAAACCCAAACCCAAACAAAAAACAACGGGGAGCGTGGCCCGTGGCGCTTTGTTTGCAGACAAAGGAAGGCCTTGTCTTTCCACGCAGGAATCGTGGCGTGGTTCCTAGCCCTCCTTCAACTGTCACGCTTAAAAAAAAAATAAACCCGACAAAAACCAACCCAAACAAACTACAAAACCTTATAGGACGGACGTTCAGCGTACTCTGAGTAAATAATGAGCTTCGTGTGTTGTGCCTACCCACGTGCTGCTCTCCCTGCACGCTGAGTTTGGGGTGGGTTTAGATGGGGCCGTGCTGTCGATGTGATAAAGTGCAGTTTTAAAAACATAACAGAAGTAAAGTTCATTATATGTAACCCTAGTTATCTGAAGAAAAACTGCCAGATTTCTTCTGAGGGGGAGGGACTTGGGCATATGTGGAGTCTCAAAATTCTTTTCTTTTTTTTTTTAGTGTTTGATTGGAATAAAAGATGGACTGGAGTGGAAAACATAATGGCCCGAATGATACAACTAATGATGGAACAGTGGTACGACTTCGAGGCCTGCCATTTGGTTGCAGCAAAGAAGAGATTGTTCAGTTTTTCCAAGGTACCTCTAGTATAGTCAAAGTATAGCGACTGAATTTTCTTTTACACAATGTTTTGCGCATTTTAATTCGCACTAGCTATTAATGGGGTGGATGGGAGGGATTGTGTTAGATTATCTTAAGTAAGAATTATGCCCTGTAAATGAAGTACAAGTAACTGTAGACATAGTAAAACACAGTATGTATCTAATTCTGTTGAGGTGGTAAACATGTTATGCATATTGGGATAATCTGAATGTGTTAGCGCTTGGATCAGTTAAATTGCTTGATCGGTAGCTATACTTTCTTTGCGTAACTTAGGTGGTTGTATTTTTGTATAGCTTAAACAGAAAAGAAGTATGGCTAAATCCGTAAATATTTAATGAAAGATCATTGGCTTGTATTATTGGGTGATGGGGGAAAGAAGGTGGTTTTCTTTTTCGTTGTGTTGTTTAGATATGCTTTAAGTATTTGCTACAGATGGGAATGTTTCAGCCTTTAACACTGTTCCCCTTGATGGGGTTATTTGTCCTTGGGTTAAAGGGTTGGAAATCGTGCCAAATGGGATAACATTGACGCTGGACTACCAGGGGAGAAGCACAGGGGAGGCCTTCGTGCAGTTTGCTTCAAAGGAGATAGCAGAAAATGCTCTGGGGAAACACAAGGAAAGAATAGGGCACAGGTGGGGATGGAGAGTTTGGGATGGTGTTAAATCTTTATTTTTGGGGGTTGTGGGTCAGTAATGCTTTTGGGGGGGTTGGGGACCATTATATGGAACTGGCTGTTGTTAAGAATTTTTATAACTGATCCTAAGTTAACTTGGGGAATACAGTAGATTTGGGGGGTGGGGGAGACAGTATTGCTCTGGGTAGTTTGCTAAACTCGGAAAATTGTTTCAATCATTCTCGTGTAGGGTAATTTGTGATAAATGCTTTTCAACAGTATGTTTCTCATACTGGAAAGACATGTTTTTTGCTTAACTTGTACAGCTAGAATTTTCACGTAGTAATCTTTGCCAAAGTGTTTTGTGTCTTCTTTTATACACTTAAGATTCTTACGGTTTTGAGGAGAAACTTAAGTTGTATGGTATCTCTAGACACTTCTATTGGACTGTACGTTTAGTTATAGAAAACGTAGTATGGCCTTTTATAATATTCAGACAGCTTATGCGTGTGTTCTTATTGGTACCTTGAAAATCCTCTTTTATTAGATATATTGAAATCTTCAAAAGTAGTAAGAGCGAAATCAGAGGATTCTGTGACATGCCAAGAAGAATGATGGGACAACAACGACCTGGACCATATGATAGACCATTAGGAGGAAGAGGGGGTTATTATGGAGCTGGGCGTGGAAGTATGTATGACAGAATGCGTCGAGGAGGTGGTGGATATGACGGTGGTATGTTTTATCTAATGAATGGAGGTTCTGTTGTCAGTTTCGTGTTTCTGACATTTTTGTCAAGAAATAAAGAAATGGCAGTAGCTGCAGTACCCGTTAGGTTTGACACGCTTCTCAAAAAATTTTACCTTGTAATGTATCGGAAAATTTGACTCAGTATTTAAGATTAATGGAAGTAATAAGGAAACTACAGCAGAATTACATCTCACTTGCATGTTTCAGTCTTTTTGCTATATAAAAGGAATTTTGCGTTTGCACTCTGTTCAGAAATCCAGGTTTAACAGTCTGTAGAAGCCGTTTGCAAATTCTGGGTGCCCAAAGACTGAAAAATTGTGCATCGCTTGGTGAATTTTCAGTAAGAGTGTAATCATTGCTTTCTTTCTCTCCATTGCACAGGATACGGTGGCTTTGATGATTACGGTGGCTATAATAACTATGGCTATGGAAATGATGGCTATGATGACAGAATGAGAGATGGGAGAGGTAAAAAAAAAATTACTTTTTTAATAGTTTGTTTAAAAAGATTTTTGTATTCTTTGAGTTGTAAGACATAGTATTTCCAAGACAGAAATAATAACTTTCTTCATTAGATTATTTTGTAAAGAAAGAAGGTTGTTTAAAAAAGAGGGAATTGGGGAATCTTAGGTAACAGTAAATGCATTGTGTAGGAAATCTTCTGGTTAGGTGTTCAGGTTGATACCCAGGAAGTGTAAACATCGTACGTTCGGTGGCATAAAGCCAGCACTTTGAGAAAAGCGGTAGTAATGACTTCCCTGGCTTTTCATGATGATCTTACAGGCGTGTGGTTTTGTTTGTTTTGGGTTTTTTAATAGGCATGGGAGGACACGGCTATGGTGTAGCTGGAGATGCAGGGTCAGGTTTCCATGGTGGCGGTCATTTTGTTCACATGAGAGGACTGCCTTTTCGAGCAACGGAAAATGATATTGCTAATGTAAGTACAACAGGAAAAGGGCTTTCTAAAGCCAAGAGTTTGTACGTTGTCTTTCTTCTTCCAAACTCAATTAAGCTCTCAAACAAGTGACTGATAGCAACTGCTGACTAAAGTCATGGCCCCTTGTGTGAGTTTCACAAAGCTTAGCAATAAATGAGCTTTTATAAAGGTGTTGTCTGAGGTAAGATTACTGAAGAAGTCAGCCAAACTATATTTAACATTCATCTCCCTACTCTCTGTGTGGTCATTTCCATAAAAGGTGTATTGAGAGAGAGAACAGTTGTTGCAATCAGTATCCTCATTTTAAGGCTTTCAGAAGTTTGTTTAAGCTTAACTGAAGATTTATAATTTTGTAAAAGAGTGATAGCAGATGTGAAACTCATAGTTTGTATATTTGTTTGTTGACCTGAGACTTGTTTCAGGAGGGGGAATGTGGGAAGACTGTAGGGAGCTGCATTCAGTTGCAGGGGACGGTATCGCGTTACTTGTAAGAGATCAGGGTGGCAGATAAAAGTACATCTGCAAGATTTTAGGAATATGTTCTTGTGCCAGTATAGATGTGGTGGTTGTAGAGGAAAAGTTCTCTTGGGATAGAAAGTTGTTTTTGGTTTAAACATAGGCTCTCTACAGAGGGGCTCCATCTGTATTGGTTGCACCTGTATGTTATATATGCCAAACTCCATTCTTAATCTTGTGCTTATTTTCTTTTTTGGGGGGGGGTTCTTTGTGTTTGTTTTTTGTTTGTTTGTTTTAAAGTGAGCTATATTTCCTTCTATCGGTTTGATTTGTTTTCTTTAGTCGAAAGACTCTCTGAGAACAAGGGCCAAACTTCAGGCATTGATTCAGAGCATGTTATTGCAAGTTGATGAGTAGTACTTCATTTGCACGTACTGTTTGGTAAAAAGGGTCTTAGTCAGAAATAACCATGGTGTGTCTTTGAATTCTGTAGCAAGGAAGAGCAGTCTTGAATTCCATAAACATGTCCCTGCTTTGAGAAATCTTATTTGGCTCTGCTTCTTCAAAAACAAAGTAATTACTTGCCTTTTCCAGGATGGCATCATATTAAAAATTGTTGCTTAAAGCGATGTGTGTGTGGGCAGGAATTTTTTTTTTTTTGTATCTTTGCTTTTAAAAAGAAAGCTCCTTGAGCTTTGTAGCTGGAGCTCTTCCAAGTTGTGTAATAATAATAGATTCTAAGTGTAGATTGATGAAATGTTGAAGGTCCACTAAGTAGTACTTTGGAAATCAGTAATTTATGTAGTAGGATGAGATGAAATTAATGCAATGCTCCACTAACCAACCACTGGGATGGAAAAAAAAAGTACCTGCCTTGAATTCTGCATTAATGGGATTTTTTGGGGTTTTTTTCTTAGTTCTTCTCACCGTTGAACCCTATAAGAGTTCACATTGATATTGGGGCAGATGGAAGAGCCACAGGAGAAGCAGATGTGGAATTTGTAACACATGAGGATGCAGTAGCTGCCATGTCTAAGGATAAAAACCACATGCGTGAGTGTCGTGTTCACTTAAAGCTTTCATTCACCAGCCTTTAGCAGGGCATATAAGGGTTTAAACTGCATTTAATTGTGCAGTTAAATATACAAATCTTCAGACTTTTTGCAATTTATGACATTTCAAACTTGCTTTTTGGGGACTTCTTTTATTTGTAAGTTGGGGTTTTTTTTGTTTTGTATCTCTGCTGCTGGTTTCTGAAACAAAATTCAAAGTAAGGCTTTTTTTGTTTCCTACAGAGCATCGATATATCGAACTATTCCTGAATTCAACTGCCGGAGGTGGTTCTGGAATGGGAGGCTATGGCAGAGACGGAATGGGTACGCATCAATTCCAGGCTTAGCCGACGCTTTGCCGAGGCTAACAAGTCCCAGGCTTGTAACGATGCGCTTCTGCTCTTTCAGATCAAGGTTACGGCTCCGTGGGTAGAATGGGAATGGGTAGCAATTACAGCGGTGGATACGGAACTCCCGATGGCTTGGGTGGATATAGTAAGTACAAGTTTTGTTTTAAATGTAGTCTTTAAACGTATGCTAACGTCCGTCTTCCAACGGACGATGGGGAAGGGTGGGGAGGCTTTGTGTGCCGGGAGAACAGGAAGGCGGGTAGTGGTTGAATTGAAACCGTAAATACTTGGAGTTTTACGCATTTTGCTACTGCAGCGAATGCTCATTTAGAGAAGTAGTGCTGAAGTACTGTTGTTTTAGTGTAAGTTGTCATATTCAACTGTTCTGTACTACCCATCACATTTTTTCTTTTTTTAAGGTATGTATGCGTGACCTTGTGTCAATTGTTTGCAGGTCGTGGCAGTGGAAATAGTGGAGGATACTATGGGCAAGGCAGTATGGGTGGAGGAGGATGGCGTGGAATGTATTGAAGGATAGCCTTGCTTCTACAAAACATCCTGGAAGAAACAGTCTCTGGTCTACTAGACTTTCTTACGAAATTTAATTTCTTTTGTATTTTAAGAACTTTATAATGACTGAAGGAATGTGTTTTCACAATATTATTTGGTAAGCAACAGATTGTGATGGGAAAATCTGTTTTCTGTAGGTTTTATTTGTTGCATACTCTGACTTTAAATAAATTTTTATATTCAAACCACTGATGTTGATACTTTTTATACTAGTTACTCCTAAGGATGTATTACATATTCAAGACTACAGTCGGTTTAAGATGTTGTACTATGGTTCAATAAAGGTGGTTGTACTGTAACTCTTATGAACACTGATTCAGTTCTATGTAATCTTGGTGTAGTGAATGAGTTTGGAAAATTCACTTGTTTAAGGGGAAAAGGGTAGATGAGTAGATTAGTTTATTTGGTTACGATCTTTCCTAAACCCTTTTGATAAGTTGTGCGTAATAATTTCTCAACACTGTGTAAAGCTGTGGAGGCTAAAATTCATCGTTCCAGCTTTCTTCCTTGTTACTACCACAATCTATCACAACTGCATAAAGGAGTAGTGCCCAAGGTTTCTGCCTCCGCAAAACAGAGCAACGAGGCTTATTTCCACGCTTTGCTGTAGAACTCTAGGTACTGCGTTTCACATGTGTAACTTCCAAATCAAACTAAAAGAAAGACTAGCGTAGCTTTAAGCTAACATGAAATGGGTCAAAACCTCATTAATTTGATGCTATCTGTGTAGGTTTCTGTTGGTTTTGGGTTTTTTTCCACAAACTGCTTTTGGGAAAAGTGGAGGATTTGGAAGTAAGAAGTTAGACTTTTTTTCTTTCATGAAATTACTGTATTTAAACGTTTTTTTTTTTTTTGCTGCAGAGCTGATTTGTCTGTTACTTGTTCAAAACTTGACAAGCCATTATATGGATGAGCTCGAGACACAAAGTCTCTAAAATAACTAAGCCCAATCCTTGTTAAATAACACGCAACCCAAACAAACACATTTATAAAACTTTTGTGCATTTGTGACATGTAAGATATGTAAGAAACTATTGTTTGAAGACACTTAACATAGCTGATGTGTAATGAAAAAAAGGTATTTATTCTTCTGAGCCAGTGTGATCTCCCAAATTAACTGCTTTGTCCTCAATGCCTCCCTTAAAATGTCAAATGTGATCTTGGGTATTGGAAGTCTGTCACCTGTTTTGCTAGTACTGTGTTATATATGTAATAAATGTCTTCTTGTGGGAGAGGAGAATGGAGTTTATTTCACTAGAGAGCGTGTCCTTGTGTCAAAGCAACTGGAAATGAGGGTAACCGCCACAGGAACCTTTCCAAGAACTGGAGTGTTTTAGGCTAGGAAGGGGAGGGAAGGTGACAAGATGTGACACCAGCAGTTTATGGGGCTTATGTTTTAACTCTCTGCTCCTAAAAACCAGTGGGTTCTTGGTCTGTTGCTGAAAGAGCTTTGCAAAACTAAGATGACAAAGGTTGGGATGAGTTAATCCAGTTGCAGGGGGAAAAAAAATCTTACAGTGAGGTAGAGGGCATCTACACATAACAGAAGCACGTTGTTTTTAATATCAGCAGATACCTGCAAAACATCATCAGCTCTGTACCATTGCCTTGCTCAGGAATCTTTTGTGTTCCATTTTATTAGAGGGAATGCTCACACCTGTGTAAGACTTACCTTTGAGAGCTGGCTGAGAGTTACACTTGGAGCTATTTTGTATAACCAAGCAATCTGCAAAAAATAAATGACACTTGAGTCTTGATGAACGAAATTCTGCTGTAAGGGACAGCGCATCCCTTCAGGCTCTCCTGTGCCCTCCACAGCGACACTGCACCCTGAAACAACAGCAGCATTCAGCATTGAACCTTTCAAATCACTTTTACACAGCGTTTAAAGTGCAGAGGAATTGTTTTTGATAAGAAAACCTGTGACAAAAGAGTGCCCAGTCAGTGAGGAAGTTGTTTCAGATGCAATCCCTGTGCACGAAGTTGTACGTCAGCCTTCGCTGCGGAGAGCACAAGATGTTGAGGTGTGCTTGCCTATTGATGAAGGGCTAAAGCCAGTAGTTGTGAGCTTACGTTTTCCCTTTGCTTCCAGAGCAGCAGCTGCAAATACGGTAAGTAGGTGAACCACCTGCACAAGGTGGGCACAGGTCACTCTGTGGGAAGGAGAGGCCTATTTTTCTGGTTCCTTGCTAATGCCCCTAGTTCGTTAAGTCATTTCCCAAGAATACAAACGAGGCTGCTCTGATACTGTGCGAACAGTTAAGAGTTTCTTTTGATGGATGGAGTACATACCCCACAGATCTTCCTACACGCAGTGTGAGGAGGATTTAGAATCACAATCTGTCAAAGAACAGGGCTTTACAGAAACACAAAGATACAGGATTAGTAATGGTGCGGTCCAAAAAACGGTTAAAAGCAGGCCAGGTACGTAGTTTGATGCTAAGGGAAATAAAACCCCGTCGAACATACAGTATTCACCATTTTGTTCAAGGCAGAAGTTTTACCTGGAGTAAGTAAAAGCAATCTGAATAATTATTCACTACTTGAGTGACGTTTCCCCATACAAAGAAGGCAGCACAGAAGAGGAAAGATTGCAGTTAAGTAATAGAGATGTTACAGAAATGCACTGTATTCTTATTTTAATATCGATTTTGTTCAGTTGCCTAATTTTTGAAGTTACTTCTGAAAGGAGTACAGATTAGCACCACCTCTATCCTAGATCAAACCCTGCTGTCCCCATACATAAAACTCACCTGCAGACACTCAGAATGCTTCCACGGGAGGCAGGTGAGCAGCGCTTGGCCTGTCATGGCACTAGCAGGGAAGCTCCCCCGCCCCGATGTAGGCACAGACTTTCTAAGCAACTTGAACAAGTCACAGTAAAATCCTCAAAATACTCCGAATTACAAATTTAAATAAAGTGACATTATTCCCACAGTTAAGTTGCAGATCAATTAAATTTATTTTTTCCAAAAGCTATATACAGATTTACAAGTGTTTGTTTTGTATTTTACAAAAAGTTACATTCGGTAATTTTAAAAACATTTTTCTTTACAAAAGCTACAGAAGCAACTACACTGAGGTGTTAAAAAGAACAGCTCTATTAGCTTTTAGAATATTAACTAAATGCCTATCCTTAAAAGACAAAGCTAAGCTAAACCACAGTGCAAGAACAATTAAAAGACCTGTTTCAAAGCCTCCCTTCTACTATTAGCAAGAATATTCCAGGCCCACGGCTGAAGGAACCACCAGGCCAATAATTCTGCTGACAGCTCGTCAGCGCTGACCAGAGCGTGGAGGTTCCACGGCTGGACCCCATCGCACAAGTGGCTAAAGGGAAGAGGGTAGATTGGTTCGAGTGCAGTGACGTGGAAGCAAGGACAATTTATCAAAGGATGTGGGTTTTTTTTGCCTACAGGAAGAATAACGATTCGCGTTTCAGCAGAAGTTCCTGTCAGTGTGAAGAGTGGTCAGACCTAGACGTACTCAAAAGAGCTCTGGAAGAAAAAATGAAGTTTAGGATCAAACTCCAAAAGTTTGAGAAAGATTATGGCAAAATAAGGAAGAACCTTCAGGTCCAACACAGGAAGGACGTAATCCTCAGTATTTAATCCTAGTCTGTCCTGGTGGCAGATTCACTCTGCTTCTGGAGCTAGACAGTGACTACCTGTACAGGCTCGAAAGCAGGACTTACATAAAAATAATGCAAAGATATCTGCTCAATGACAGGCAAAAATCTTGTGAGGGACATCTCTCTCTTCAGGGAAACAACGGTATGTCAAATTAAGAGTTAATTTAAAAAAATAATTCAGCAAAATGCACCTTCCTTCAAGTGCCTAGAAGCACTGCTTGTTACCTGACAAAACCTCCCCTTACACCTGTGACTACAAAGACCAGAGTCATCAGTACAATATTCTTGGATGTATCAAAACAAATTGAGGGGAAGTAAACAAATACGGTATTTGGCAATAACTTACTGGACCACTGCATTAATTGCATCACTTTTTTAAAATACAATTTAAAACAGCTACCACACAGTTTTGCTTCACAACAGTGTATCACAGGCACATTCTGCAGCAGAATTAGGTTGGACCTGTTGCAGACTAGCCTGTAAAAGCAGGTAAGTGTATAGTCTTTTTCAAGGTCATCGTAACAACTAAGATACTCATCAAATACGTGTTAATGCTGAGTCTCCTCTATCAGCTGCCCTGCTTCCTCCAAAGGAGCTTCTGAGCCATTTGTGAAGCTAACATTGCCATCTCTAGACTGCTTACCTGAAATTCTGGAAATACTGCTGTACATTCTTTAATTGTTTGTTTGTTTTTTACAGGATTAGCTAAATAACAAAAGGCAATGAATAACTGGTAAGGTTATGGCACATTAGAAGAGCACCTCTGTATAAGTATTGCATGGCAGGAATCACAGACCCGAACAGGCTTTGGTGAAGAAGGCAGAGGCAGTTCATTGTCAGAACAGGCATTACAGAAGATCTCACCACAGTTTCTACAATGGTGCTAAATAACGGGGAGAAGAGGGGGGAAAGGAAAGAAAATTATAATTTACAATGGGAATATATTTGGTAATTGGCTACCAATAAACAATATACACAGAGCAGTCTGAAATGGGATTCCTTCCACTTTGGTCTGAGCACGGAATCAGTTTTCAAAAGATAATTCATCTAAATCCCAATCTATGATGCAATAGACCATGGTCTGTCTAGGATTGCATCATAGATACATAGGTAGATATTCTGTCTAGGACTGTATATATATATTTTTTTTATATATATGTGTGTGTGTGTGTATATATATATAATGCTTTGCAGATTTCATTCAATCCTTGGATTGCGAACATACTCTGCTATATAAAAATATAATATAAGCAATGATATTCAAGACAGCGGATGATTCTGTCAGGTACCTGATTTTTAAAATAAAAAGGTAAAATAAAAATTCCTGCACACATTAATAAAGCACAGAAATTAACATCATATTTTACTGTAAAATGGCAATAAATTCCTTATTTCTTAGCGTATTGCATTTAAAAATGCCATAAAAAGACTTCTACACGTGTCAAATTGTAACAGTGCCAGAGCCGACAAGCGCCGGAGACGATGATTCCACAAAGCAGGTTGAATAATTTTTAAGTACGCTCCTTTGTGGCACTTCTCCAAAAGGCAGCATTTCAT